AAACCCGCCTCTGACTTGAAGTTCCTGGCTTCGTGATGGTAAAGAAGGGCTCGTTTCTGTTTTTGTATTTTCATCTGGGTCAGTAAGAGGACAAGCCATTCCTACGAGCTCGTTTCCCTCTAAGGAGGAGAAAAATCGTCCAGCACCTAATGATGCAGGTCATTAGCTATGTTAACAGCCTCGCAGTTAAAAAAAAAAAAAAGTTATGATAATGTATCCTCCTAAAGTGCACTTAATTTTAGTTAAAATTTCCCTGGTGATTTAAAAACTTCGTGAATTTGTAAATCTAGTAATTGGCTCTATGTTTGGAAATGTTGAAGCCGCCATAGCCGACTGGGCTCTAGCCAGACACACAGAACCTCAGTGAGCTCTGGCTTCCTCGGGGCACAGAGGGAGCTCAGCACTCACCTGGAATCTGGAAAGAAACCAAGACTTCCTAACCTGAGTCTCCTTCCTGGTCTTCGCTACTCGGAGGCAGCCGATGAGTGCTCCGATGTTACCAACATGTCCAAAATCAAACCTCTGCCTCCCCACCCACATCCAAGTTCAGTCTTCCCACTCAGCGGTGAACAACCAACCACCTGTCTGGTGGTTCGAATCAAAGATCGAACCATCCTTGATTTCTTCTTTTCCGTCCTCACTGCGCCCCAGCATCAAATCCATCAGTGTGTTCAGTTGGTTCTACTTCTAACAGTCTACTTTGAAGACAGAGCCCAGCTGTTCGTTCCTCTCCCTCGTGCCCTCCTGCCCTTTCCGCCCGGCCCCCGTCACCCCTCACCCCTCCCAGAGGGCTTTCTCCCTGCAGTCTGCTCTCCACACAGTAGCCAAAACATAACTTCGATCACGTTACCCACCCCTTTCTTAAAACGTGTCAGAGGCCTTCTTTTGCTGTTAAGGCGAAGGCAAAAATTCTGATTTGGCCAGGAAGATCTTGCGCGTTCTGCCTTGGCCCCCGTCTCCGGCATCACTGTCCACCATGTCCCTTGGTGTGGCAAGTTCCCGCTTACCAGTCACCCTCCCGTTCATGGAGCTCCTGTGCCGGGGCCTGTGTATCTGCCATGCTCTCTGCCGAGTGTCCTCCCGTTCTCCCCATCCCTCCTCCCACGTCTGGGGGACTCCCTCCTCCCTCCCTTACGCCCAGGCTGGGTCTGGTTATTTACTTCTGTAGAAACATGGGAGTCTTTTTCCCGCTTTGGAGAACCTATTTTAATTTGAGGTTTCGTATATATCTATTATTTATTTGTTTGTTCGTTTGTTCGTTTATTCGTCGATGTGATCATGTGATTGAGGTTCATGTCCTCCACTAGGCCGTGAGATCTGTGAAGGCGCCCCCTTCTGCTGTGCCCTGCTCTTTCCCCACCCGCTAGCTCTGTGTCTGGTGCACAGCAGGTACTTAGTAAGTAATTGGCTGCATGCTGAATGAATAGGTAGAGTCCAGTAACATAACAGTCCTTGTTGACAGCACCGCCCCTGTGAGGCGTGGGCTCTTTCCAGAGGTGGCAGCGCCAGATTCTCCACAGCACGTCAGTCAGCAGGAGCAAGTGCGATTTTGCTGGGCTTTTTTTTTTGCATTTCGGCCGTTAGAAGGAGCAGAGCGCGCCACCTAAAGCTTACTTGTTTTTTTCTTCTCTCTCTATTCAGCTAAAGCTTGCCTTCACTCTGGACCACGAGACTGGATTGCCTCAAGGATGTCACATCTACGAGTACCGCGACAGCAACAAGTAAGCCGCTCGGCGGGGAGACGGTCGCTGTGTCGTGCAGAGGTAGCACCCGTGGCCTCTCTTACACTGCGCTTCTCTTACAAAGGGATCGTCGGGAAGGGAATCACGCTTTTTGTGACTGTTCTAGAAAACACCTGACACAGACTATTTCTCCTCTCACATCTTTTGCCCCTAACGATAGAGCTTGAAGGGCTTGCATAAGAGCAGTTGCAACGTTCTAGACGTATCTTCCAAAGCAAGCCTCCCTCCCAGGCGCCAGCTTTCCCCCCGGCCCTCCCCCACTGCGTCTCCAGTCACGCGCCCGCCGTTTGGTCCGCCGTGTGACTTCGCCTCCTGTGACAGTCCTGTCTGTCTGTACCTGTGGTTATCGATTGTTTTGCTAGTCCACCTTGAGAGTGTCCTAGCTGGGGGATTTCCGAGTACTTACAGAGATCTAACTGGGTGGCCTTATTAGAAAGGTGGCACCTGGCCCAGTTCTGTAGTGCCCGTCGCTTCGTCGCAGGCTGCCTCCCTGACTGTGTATCTTTGTGAGACAGCAAGGGCGGTAGCGAGTGAGGCAGAGAGTGATGGTGGCGACGATGATAAACAATGACAGCAGCTACCGCTGAGGACCTACTGGGTGTCAGGCACGGTACATGGCACCTGGCCCAGTTCTGTAGTGCCCGTCGCTTCATCGCAGGCTGCCTCCCTGACTGTGTACCTTTGTCTGTGAGACAGCAAGGGCGGTGGCGAGTGAGGCAGAGAGAGAGTGATGATGGCGATGATGATAAACAATGACGGCAGCTACCGCTGAGGACCTACTGGGTGTCAGGCGCAGTACGGGGACATTACGTTACCCATAATGACGGCAGCTACCGCTGAGGACCTACTGGGTGTGAGGCGCGGTACTGGGACATTATGTTATCTATAATGACAGCAGCTACCACTGAGGACCTACTGGGTGTCAGGCGCAGTACGGGGACATTACGTTACCCGTAATGACGGCAGCTACCGCTGAGGCCCTACTGGGTGTCAGGCGCAGTACGGGGACATTACGTTTGTTATCCAGTTTCATCCTCATAACAACCTAAAGAGTTTTCTTTTATCGTTGCTGTATTTGCAGACGCTGAGGTCTGGGGAACTTGCTCAAGGTCACGGCCACAGCTGTGTGAGGCAGACAGCATTACCGCATTTACTGGGAGGAGAGTAAATGAAAGGCAACTGTTGTCCCAAGTGGCTACTTTTGGAAACCCCAGTCAGGGACACGAACAGTCCCCATCTGGGCTTGAGGACAGCGTACCTGGTCTAATTGTTTAAGTATCCAGGCTGTTTAATTTTATCTCGTAGAAGGACGCAAATAGGCACACGCCAGTGGAACTGTGCCTTGCCTTCCCAGAGAGACGCTCGTGTCTTCCTCGAGAACGCTTGCTTTGCGGTGGGTGGAGATGGGTTACTAGGTGCCTTCACGACCAGATCTGCGCTCAGCTTGCTTGCAACGCATTCTTCACTCTCTGTGATTTACCTGTAGGAGGATGCCATAGTAAGCCGTGGGAAGCACCCTTGGTTCCCGCCAAAGGAGTCCTTTAGGAAAGGTTGGCTAAGCGTCCTGTAACACCATCATTCCTCCCCTTGGATGGCACTGTTTGTAGGAGACAGTTCCAGGGCGTATAGGCCATCACGCCAGGAGTAGCATCTCAGCTACTTGTAATGCACAATACAACACAGAAGTAGGGCTGGACTTCTCCAGAGCCAGGGACTAGCAGGGACAATTGAGCAAGTCCACGGGTGTCAAGGGCGAGCATCACTAGAGTGAGAGAAACATAAGCCTTAAGCTGCCATCTCCTCGTCAGCACCACCCTGTGCTCCCTGGCGCTGGCTGAGGGGCAGCAGATGGCAGCCCCGTGCACGAAGATTGTGGCCACTGAAACAGACCTTCAGGCCCAAGGGTGTTCACAGACTCCGATTCTGGCCTGACTTTCTGCCTTTTGAAACAAAGATGGGCAGAGTTTTTGTTCCGTGGGAGAGGGGCACCAGCCCTCCTTCCTTTAAGTTCACGTCTCAGCTGTTCCGTGGTCTGGTGACAACAACTTAGGTTGTCTCTGAAGCTGAGAGCAGAAAATAGCCTTGCTGGGTGTCTTGGCCTAATCCCTAGCTCCTCGCTTATGTATCAGAGTAAGTACTGTGAGAGGAGAATGGAGGGGTTGTAAATATTGACAAGCTTTGGCCCCCAAAGACTTGTAAGGAAAACATTTGTGTGGGAACCTAGACGGGAGCCATGGGCTAGGACCCAGTGCCTCAGCGAGCCCTCCGCGCTTCTCTCTGGTCTGAGAGGCAGCGCTGGGGTTTGTTCTCACTCCGTGAACAGATGTCCTAACCTCTCTGAGCCTTAGGTTTCTTCATCTGCTGAGAACAATGGGACTAATGATATCGGCCCAGCATGACTGTCATGGGGATTGAGTGGAATGACGTGTTAAAGCCGTCATCACTGGCCTAGCATATGGCACCTCATAGCTCAGGTCACCGGCCTTGCTGGCTGTAGCCAGGGCTGAGGCAGGGCTCTGGGCCCTTCCAAGCCCATCTCGATTCTTCGCCCAGCCCCCGAGCGCATAGGCCCTTCTGGACCAGAGGGCTCCCCAGCGCGCTGGCCGGCCTCTGAGGGCCGGGCCTGCTCGGCACCTCCTTGGCCTCAGGACACTGTCCACACAGGCAGGACAGACCCAGCGGGCAGAGCTTAGAGCGACCCTGGGACTCTCCTGTTGTTTCATTCTCATCACAGAGGACGTGCTGGGTCAGTTCAAGGCCGTGGACAATCAGACCCCCGGATCAACGTGCAAGAGACATGTGGGGGTGAAGGGAGGGAACCGGAGCAGCACGAGGCTGCAGTGGGGGCGCCGGCCTGCCCCTGGAGAGGGGGAGAGAGTGGGGCGGGGGTAGGGGGCACTGGCGGCGCCTCAACCTGCAGCGCGGTCCCAAGGAAGTGTCAGTGGTGCAGCCTCGAGGTTGCTGGTCGGAGGAGCCTCATGTCCCATGGGTGCAGTGCTGCCTGAGACCCCTGCTGTGCTCCGTCACCCTAGGCCTCTCTTCCCGAGAAGGAGCTTAGAAAGAGGAAGCAATGGGACACGCTGCCGCCTCCACTATCATAGTGGAACTCGGGGCCCCAGCCGGCCCTCCCCGCACCCACCACTGACTGACTAAGCTTCTTCTCACCCTCAGCTAGCACCTCAGCAGCTCTTGGCAGCTTAGCCAGTGGGTGGCCTGACCCAAACCTTCATTGCTAGGTTTCTGAGGCCCCGGCTGTCATGTCCTTCTCAGGCCAGGGTGACGCATGTGTCCCTATGTCTGTTCATGGTGGTGCAGGGGAGTACCCACAGGTTCCCTGGGGCCCCGCCTTCCCTGTCCCCCGCTTCGATCTGGGTTGAGTACCCCCTCCCTGCCTCCAATGCTGACTCCTTACCCGCTGGCCGCTAGAATCCTGGCAGTAGCCATCACTCAGGTTCAGAGGGACCCTGCCATGTTCCCTCTGGCCTTTAGTGCCTCGGGCTGCATCATTCTCACGGGTCTTAATGAGCCCAAGTCTGTGACAGCCCCTGCTGCCCTCCCCTGCCTGCGGAGGAATGCCAGCACCAAACTTCTCAACAATGCCGGCGTTTCCCTTACCGGCGCCTGTCGGGTGACCTGGTGAAGGGGTGTGCTGCAGGCCCCCCACGGAACGTAGGCCTCTGCTGGGTCTTCTGGGCTCGGTAACACATCCATTCCAGCATGGCCCCTCTCTCCACCTCTTTATTCCTTCCTCTGCTGTCTGCCAGGGCAGTTCATGCCTTTCCGCTTCACTCAGCCATACCTGTCACTTCCTCCAGGCCCCAAGGACCACCCCAGCAGCAAGTTTGCACTGCCCGCTAGGGTCTTTGCCAGAGTACTGAGTCCCACACCCCAAGAAATTACCCCCAAATCAACGAATTCTTGCTCATCTGGTCTTACTTCCTGGCCCCCTTGATCAAGCCCCTCAAGTCCCATGAGCCAGTTCTTCTCACTCTTGGGATGAAATCCGTTTCCTCCCTCATCAGGCACAGCACATCCCCAGCTGGGTCATCCTGGCATTTAAGCCTCATTATGGGCCAGGCAGCCTGGAAGGAGGTGGGGGATGCTCCTGAGGGAAGCGGAGAGACCTCCTCATGCCTTCTGGGATGCGGGCATCGCTAGCCTTCCGAGGGAAGCGTAGGCCACCTTTTGGTAAACTGCCAATCCCTCCCACTTAGCCTATACGCACTCGTTGAGGGCCCTCAGTGTCACTGTC